GTATTATTGCGGTGTGAATCATCAAATTTGTCCTTTATTAATCTGCTGGTTGAATTCGGGATGAAAATGGCCAGGCTAAAGCAAGGTCGAGCTGGTACGGAAAAATGAGGGAGTGTTGGTACATTTAGATTAGTCAATCAAGTGCTTAATCGCACTGTCATAACTTAATGCCGAAAAGATGTTTTAATTTTTGAACTTAGTAAGTTTCGATGCCTACCGCGCCTAACACGATGCACTTCCCCGAGAGTTGAAGGTCAATTAAAACGGCGAGTTATAAATGCAAATATATCCTAGAAGCTTAGCCCACCCATTGCTTCATCATCAAATAACAGGATGCTATGAAGTGAATCTATATAAGTCCAGTGAGCTTACCTCTTCCTTGTCTACTTGCTGCACAGACATTTTGGTGGATTATCATCAGGGTTCATTCAGTTTGTGGGACAGAACTCTCATTCCAAAGTTCTTCAAAGACTCTGAAACAAAGTGTCAAAGTTAAATACGTACAGTCGAAAATAATGGTGATTTAACGAGATAACAAACATAAAAGAAGAACCTTATTCAGTGTTGATGGATTTTTTCAAAACAATCAAACAATCTGATGGGTTCAATTTCTGTAACGACCTCAAATAGTCTTAATCAAATAATTAGCGTTTACGCGAAAACTCGCTCTTTCAAAAACTTTTTTTTTCAAGGTTATTTGAGCCACTTTCCTAGCTCACCCACATCAGATGTCTGATTATGTGCTATTCTTCAAAATGCTGATATCTCTTTTTGCGAGGGTTTTGACTAAGAGGACCCAAAAATCTTGGGTAGATTTGTAGAGCAGCATCCTAAAGGAAGATCCTTCTCTAATCAAATTATTTGTGAGGGAATAGCAATTGTTTAAATTATATCCTAAATTAAGTATAAAAAATTATATCAATTCTATCATTTATGGCGAAACTAATGTTATTTGTACACTTTCTCGTTGAGGAATGAAGACCTAGATTGGAGCTAATGTTGAGGTATGGAAGTACTTACAACAGAAATACTGCATGTCTAACATAGCATCTCGCCTTGAAGATATAGATTTGCAGAAAACTGTGATGTTGTATGTGCTAGGCTTAAATTCGACCTTTTCTTTACTGATGTCCAATAAAAATGTCTTGAAAAACACGAGATTTTTTTACTTGTTACTAACTGCTAACGCTT